TGGCGCTCTTGCAGCCGAAGCAGGCGAGCTCCTTGTCGTCCAGGCAGAAGAGCTTGGCCTCCTCGCGGTGCAGGGCGCAGAGCGCGGCCGCCCGGCCCCGCCGCTGCCCTTCCTCCTTGAGGATCATCTCCACCAGGTTGTTGAGCGTGTGGTTGACGCGGAGCTCGTCGAGCGACGAGGCCTCCTTGCACACGGGGCACACGTGCGGCCGGTGCTCCCAGGAGCGGCTCACGCAGCCCTTGCAGAAGTTGTGGCCGCAGCCCAGCGTGACGGCCTCGCGGAAGGGCTCGTAGCAGATGGGGCACAGCAGCTCCTCCTTGAAGGTGGCCGTGGAGGACGGGGCGAGCGCCGCGGAGCCGCCGGGCGGGGGGCTGCTTCCCTTCTCCATGGCGCTGCTGCGGGGGAGAGGGGAGGGAAGCCGCTTTCGGAGCCCGGTGCAGCCCCCTTTCCTGGATGTCGGAACAGCTTCGGTGCTCGGAGCAACTCCTTTCCCCAGATCTCGGTACAATCCCATTTCCTTGATCCCGAACAGCCCTGGATCCCGGCGCAGTCCCGGAGTCAGACGAAGTCCCCATTTCCTGAACTCCCGCATAGTCCCGGTGTCCCGATCGCGGAGCAGCTCCTTTCCCCCGGATCCCGATCGGGGAGCAGCTCCTTGCCCCAGACCCCAGTGTCCCGATCCCGGAGCAGCTCCTTGCCCCAGATCCGGATCCGGGAGCAGCTCCCTGCCCCGGATGCCGGTATCCCGATTCCGGAGTAGCTCGTTCCCCCCGGATCCCGGATCCGGGAGCAGCTCCTTGCCCCGGATCCCAGTGTCCTAATCCCGGAGCAGCTCCCTGCCCCGGATGCCGGTGTCCCGATCGCGGAGCAGCTCCTTTCCCCCGGATCCCGATCGGGGAGCAGCTCCTTGCCCCGGATCCCGGTGTCCTAATCCCGGAGCAGCTCCCTGCCCCGGATCCCGATCCTGGAGCAGGTCCCTGCCGCGCGTGCCGGTGTCCCCATCCCGGGGCAGCTCCTTTTCCCTCGATCCCGATCCCGGAGCAGCTCTTTTCCCCTGGATCCCGATCCCGGAGCAGCTCCC